TGTGTGTGTGTGTGTGTGTGTGTGAAAATAAGTGATTAATTGGCCAGTATTAGTATTAAAGTTCTATAAGAGACATTTTCTTATGGGAAATGCAACTTTGTCGAATGTAATTAGTAATAAAAGTATTGAAGAAATAATACCAGAAATTTAATTTTTTTTGTACGTACAGATCCTAAATTACTGGAATTTTTTGCAAAATTAGATTAATTTTCACAACACGATTTCAGAGAAATTATTATTCATAACAATTTTGCGGTTTTTGAAATGCGTAAATCACTGGCAGACTATGTAAGTGTAGCAAAAATAACTTTTTAAAAATAAATATATTGTATTATCTACCATTTATATAAGTGTGTTATCACTAGATTTACTACACGTTTGGCGGAGTTATGCAAATATTTCCAATTTGGGGGACTTTTGTCAACGATTGTATCTCAGATACATCCTTAATTCAATCTTTATCTTATCTTTTTATAATTCTTAGAACTAAGAAATAAAAAATAAGTAATAACCGAGATTAAAGTTAATCGACATTAGAAAGGAATATAAGTAATTTTCAGTCGTATGAAGAAAAGGATATGTTGTAAGACGAAAGTCTAATTGCTAGCTCTAAAGTCAATTTCATCAATCTTACACACACGGGATATTACGCAATTTCCGAACCGGCCTAATTACCGCCTTGCATCCCAAGCTCTTCCTCATTCTTCTGGGTCTGCCTCCACCAATTTGAGCCAGACTGCGCTCTTTCGGACTGGGGAATTAAGATTTAGGAGACCGCAGTGAGAGCACAGGACAGATTTACATAAGTCGGTATACATTTGTTCGAAGGGAGACAAGGTTTTACGACCTCGGGCTTGCTGCGAGCTCTTTTCCCACGAAGTGAAATGTAGGAATCCACATCCGGAGCCGAATCCTTATTAAGCGGCGCGGAATTTTCGGTAATCCGGAGCACTTACGTCACTTAACATCTCGACCACATAAGTAGGGCTGCTTCGTAATAAACTTCGATCCTATCATATCCACTGATGTGTTACGCCCGCAGTTTAATTCAACCGAATTTTCTAAATATAAGATACGACACGAGAAATGTAAATTTAATTGCTGCAAAGCGAAAAAATATTCAATGTTTTAAAAGTAAAATATTTTTTTCTTACTAAAATTGATGTTCAATTCTAATTAGAAAAAGAAACTCGGTATTTTTTCGGTATTTAAAATCGGAACAGGCTATTTTTTATTTTTTAATTGTCCTCACGTGTTCATAAATTAATGACGTTTACGTCTTCCGAACAAGAGATAGAGTTTTCTTTACTGAAAATACCAAATCCTGCAGAGTTGACCCATGCGATGATCCAAGATTCCAGTTAGCTATTTGCGTTTGAGAGAAAACGAATAGTAATAATAATTAGTTTCTTAATGCGAAAAAATCACGAGAGAACAATAAAAGAACGTGTGCTCGTTCTCTCTCTCTCTCTCTTTCTTTGTACGATTTTCAAGTCATAAAAGTCCTATCGTGTTCTTCGTAAAGAAGTTAAATAAAAAAGAGACAGAAAAAGGGAAGAGAGACCGACAGCGCTAACAAATGTTGGTCGAATCGGCCGCACGAGCCACGAGGATACAGGTGTAGTTTTATCTCGTATTCCTTTACAATCCAATTCCGCGGACAGGACTACTTCCGGTGCCTGTGCGAGGAAGGCGAGATACAAGAGCCAAACAATTCCGTTATCATGTGCCGTTTATAACGTATCTTTTCGTAGTTGCTTTCCTTACGATGAAATAAAATATATCAGGACAAACTGATTTTAATTAATTAAGATATAGATATTATATAAAGCGATGAAAAAAAAAACACCAATATTATTGAATCTTAAATAATCTTTCGATAGTCAATGAAGAAGAACTCGACTTTATTTCTTGGTGTTTTTTTTTCTCATTGCTTGATATAATATTGAAGATACTTCTAAAATTCGCGTATTTATTGAATCTTATGCTAAGTTATAAATAAATTTAAGTTATTAAATTTAAGTTAAGTCATATACCTTATAAAATATGGTTTCAATATAGAACATTGTTGAATTAAGCTCGATTTTAAAAATGCGTACATGTACCAAATTTTTAAAAATGGTGTATCCTCTATAATGTCAAAAATATATATTGTTTCAATAACAAAATAGTTGTTTCTGGAAAATATTTTTGTTTTAAATACTAAAACTGTACCCAAGCGGCACATAGCGCTTATAAAGCGTTAACAAAGCATTAAAAAAGCGCATATAATCGCTTTTTTAGCTGGCTGCTGTGTTACTTGGGTATTTTATAAGGTAAATAATTTTATCGAATTTGATATAAAGCGAATTTTTTTCTAGGATGATGATATGCAAAGCCTTGTAATTTCTTTCTTCCAAAGATTTCGGAAATTGTATGTATATAGATTACGAGTCTCATCATATGCTGTATATTTGCAGGTTACGATTGGACGTTACTTCCGGTGACTTCGCGCGCCGGCGGACGAAGAAGCGCCCACGTGAAGCGCCCGATGAACGCCTTCATGGTGTGGGCACAGGCGGCAAGGCGAAGACTAGCCGACCAGTATCCACAATTGCACAACGCCGAGCTGTCCAAGACGCTGGGAAAATTGTGGAGGTAATTTAGCTTTGACCGAACCTGTAGGTAGATGCATGTTATTGTCAAAGAAATCGAGTCGTAGTTTGCATTTTATTACAGGATGATTTCAAGATCTTTGTGTAGCTCTAAATTATCATAACTTTCGTTCTATGTATTTATGATGAGATTAGTCTGTAAAAGGAGTAAGTGAAAGAATGTACTTCAGCATTAATTTATTCTTCTCGAATTGTTATTTCTCAATATATACATCGTTATTGTATACAATCGGGATATGATTTTAAAGTTCTATAAATATGTTTTACAATAATACTTTAAATCGCATTAATTATTTTAATCCACAGATCATCTAAAGAGCGAATAAAGCTTTCCTAAAAGTAGAAGAATCAAACGAAGGAATATTGATAATCGTTTTTTTTTTAAATTAAATCAATTCTTCTATTCCACGGAAAAAATGATTTGCCTCAAGTATTTAAAAATTTAAAAATTATTTTGTTGAACTATCAAAATAATTATGTATAGCAATCTCAAGCATGATAAGTAATGTTGCAAAAAATTAAAATAATTATTTTGAATTCGGTATTTAGCTAAATTTTATTTTATTCAGTATCATTAAAATCTTTCTAAGACGACTATGAGCATCAAACTATTAAATTGTTTTAGTCAATTTAATTTGTAATATTACTACAATAGTTCATTTGCGTTTCAAGACTGAAAAATCATTTCAGCGCGCAGTTTAAATAACTACATGTGTAGTATATAAATTCATAATTCACATCAAATTATCTTATATAAGCATTTAAGATCCAGCTTGACCGTTAAAGGCTTTATTTCTTGTTGTATAATCACATTTACGGTCTTAAGAAATTCTCTAATAGTTAAAATTTTAGATATGTACTCTCTCTTTTCAGCAAAACTGTCTTTTCCGTGCATAAAGTTCGATACTTAAGCAGGTAATAATACCGGAGATTGTGAATTGTATTTTGTCGCAGGATCCTGAGCGATGGCGAGAAGCAGCCGTTCATCGAGGAAGCCGAGAGACTGCGGAACGCACACAAGAAGCAGCATCCGCATTACAAGGTAAATAACCGCCGAATTAACCGATTGACGACATACAGTCGCGGCGGAATTACGCATTCGCGCCTTAATCGCGCATCATTAGGAATAATATGAGGAATGTATCTCGTGCGTTACGAAATCGCACGACCGGTTCGCGATCGAGCGGCCCGATTCGCGCGAGATGGCGGAACGAATTAGCGCATGCAAAACGCGCATTCGTCTCTCAGAATACTCGAGTGGTTAATCGAGGCTCGATCATCCGAGCGATTTGAATCCTACCGCGCTGCGCGTCGGCGCGATGATTTACGAGAAGGGGAAATGAATTCACCGCGATGAAGCCATCCGTGTCGCCGCTCCATGCGAGGCGAGAAAGTCGAGCAGCGGTGACGAGACGCGGCGAACGGGATGCGGAAAAAGCGGAGCTTTTACCGGTTTCAAGCACATTGTTAAATTTATAGTGTCATGTTTAACTTAATTTAAGTCGCCACTGCTCTTACCGCTCCTACTCAATATAATTATCATTATTTTATGCTAAAACAATGATTAAATTTGATACTATATAATGACACTTATATAGTGACATTAAATTGACACTTATATAGTGTCAAATTTAATCATTGTTTTAGTATAAAATAATGATATATTGAGCAGGAAAGACGACTTAAGTTAGATTAAATTTGACATTAAAGATTTATCAACAATGTAGCTTTGTTGAAAAAAGAAAAAATTACTTGTCTAATTTACCCGCTAATCTAATAATCATTTGGAATATTTTTATATCTCAGCGGCGAAAAAATATGAATTGTAAAATATTGTTTAAAAAAACTTTCAAAAGTGTTATATTAATTAAAATCTTAATTTTTTTAGAAATATTTGTTATAATAAAGCTATTTAACATACTTATTCTATTTAATATTTGATTTCTTTTTTAAAAAAAATTATGATTAAATTCATATCCATTTTCTTAAATGAAATACTAATAAATCGAAAAACAATAATGTACATTTAATATTGTTAATAATAGTGATTTTAATTAGGATGTAAAAATACCTCAGGTGATCGTTTACGTAAAAAAGATCAGATGACAATTTCCGAATTAATCTAATTCGTTTAATTTATCTGGTTATGTAATTTCGTAGATTTTGTAATAACAATAACTTTATTGCGATTATACAAGTTTATTAATAACAAGAAATGTAAATTACATGTATAATATGCATGAAAGACAAAACTATACGCATAAAAGGATGTCTAAAGGTACCTGTAATTAAAAAAACATAGCATTAAATATAAAATGAGCAGAATACAAAATGGACCGAGACGTACAGGACAAAACATAAAACTTTGAAATTTTGTTATTTAAATTTGTTACACGGTCTTATTTTTGTGTCCATTTACTAAATTACAATGTTAATTTATTTATGGATTATTTAACAGATTTCAGAGCAGGACATTAAATATATTAAATAAATATATTAATATATTTATTTAATATATTAATATATTAAATAAAACGTTGTCTTCAAAATTAAATTAATTCTTCACTGCAATCATATCGGGCCGCATCAAAAAATTACACAAAATATTTCAATGTTCAATATACAGCACAAAAAAAGAATTGATATAATTTTTCACTACTTGTAACGCAATATGATTCCAGCGAGACCTATCTTGAGATAACTAATTCAAACACAATGTGATATCGTTCATAGTATCAACCTCGTCGCAGGAAGCCGAAGTCCGACGATCAAATGGGTATTATCGTGCACAGGGGTGGACTTCCATCACCGGGGACCTCCCTCGACTCCTCGGCCAGTTCCTCGGACTGCACTTACGCTCGCCTATATCCGGACGCTGGTGTGAAGGCGTACGAGCGACCGACGGCTTATCACGAACCGAAGTCTAGCGCTTACGACTTAGCTCGACCGGTCTGGGTCAACGAGACAGTCGCCAAGTATCCCGCTGTCGATCATCCCAACAAGTCGACGTACGAGACGACAGCCAGAAGCTACGCCGAGGCAAAGTGCCACGAAGTAGCTAAGTACCATCACGAGATGACCGGCACCAAATATCACCACGAGATGGTCGGTACAAAATACCATCACCATCATGAGTCGGCGGCGACCAAGTATCCGGATCTGCAGGCCAAACCCTATGATCTGCCCAAATACCCGGAAGCCAAGGGATATCCGGATGGTCTCAAGTACTCCGCGGAGATGAACAGCGGCGCGGCCGTGGCCGCAGCCGCTGCGAAGGCGTCCTACACCTGTGTACATGGACAATACTACCCTACCACGGAGGGATACACCGTACACGGCGAAGAGAACGACTACCAGCCACAGAGTGTGTCGACGCATCCCTCTTTTTACCCTTACATATCGGCGTCCATGGCACAACCGCCGTACTACATGGGACCCCGATAGATTGTGAGCAGAAGATGGGAGGCGACACGAGACTATTCTTGAAGATTTTCATAAGATTGAATGAGACTACACGGTGCATATCGAGTAAAATAAAATCGTTATCTATTGCCAATCTCGGATAGAAAACTATTTTTTCTATGAACAAATTGGTCGAGACAATGTTTCTGATAAAATCAAGATCATGTCATCCTCCCCTCTGACTGCGAATCGTGTTTCACTCGAGTCTTGATGTTATGCAAGAATTTTGCAGCGGCGTGTGTATGTATGTGTGGATGTGTGTGCGCTTGATAAACTTCGAGCGTAGACGATCGTTAGGATCCAGCGAGATTTAATTCAATCGGGTATCGTGCGCTTAATGAAACTCTGTAAAGTACTTAAACGATACCGGTTATTGTACTTAACAATAAATTGATAACATTAAATTGATACTTTATTTTGCAAAGCGAGATATATCATTCGATCGCCTTGTAATTCTTTTTTTTTAATTTATTCTTTTCTGTAAACTCTGTGACACAAATAAAACAAATCTATCTAAGCACTCTTGAGTTATAAAGTTCAATATGAAATGTTTAAGTTTTTCGAAACTATTCGCAAAAAAAAACAATAGGAAACATTTTTAATGCAGAACTTACGAATAGATTTATAAATTACATAAAAAATGATAATGTATATATTAATGTGTATATATTAACTAAAATGTATCATCTCATAATATTCCTAGTGACTAGGAGAAAAATTTAATCACGACTGAGTTAAAATTATGAAAAGAAAAGGAAATATGCGAGTACATGTAAGCGTCTCACACAAATCGTGTCTACAACGTGAGCAGAAAAAAGGCAATCTAATATCACATTTGTCAAGACATTGGCGGCAAGTACCGGTGAAGAAGTAACTATAATACACGCTACGTAACGAGATAATTGCTATACTAATTATGTAATCATTAACCGAATCAGCGGTAAATCGTCGATAATTACATCAAACGTGAATGTGTATGTGCGCGTGAGACGATTCCGCAACCAGGTACTTTTTTTTCGACGACGGATAATACTCCTTAATCTTTTTCCTTAATCCTTTTCTTAACTGGAGTCGCGTCCAATAATAGTTGCCAATTCCTGCACCACGTCTCGATTCGCGTGCATGAACGCCTTCGCGTTCCAGATCATATGCACTAATATCTCGTCGCTCTTCTCGTCCATGCCAACTTCCGTCGATAGTTGCGGATTGAATCTGTAGTATGGTACGCCGATCATGGAGCACCAGGTGCGAGCGCGATCGACCACGCGGCCGTCGCTGGCTGTCGCCTGATCGACCAGCAGCGTGCCCAGCGCAGACATACCGAACGCGAGCTTGGCGGTGTCCCAGAGACTCTCCGGCCGGAAAACGTCGATCTCATTCAGAGTGTACGTGGTCGGTATGAGTCCCGTGCCGAGAGAGACCACCAACGACAGCGGTATCACCTTATTCTCACGGTTAGTAGCCTTCAGCGCCAAATTGTACTCGTGGATCTCCGTCATAGCATCCAGGGTAGGATTGTTAGCGATCAAACCACCGTCCAGAAAACGGCCAAACGCCCGGAAATACGACGGCGCCGCACCGGTGGCTCTCGCCGCTTTCCAAAGTAACTGCTCCTGTGGCGATAATGTCGATTTGAACATTCCGTTCTCTGGTAACTTCAAGATCACGCTAGGCGCCTCGTAGTTGCGGAATAGATGAAGATCCACAGGCTTACGATCGGCGAGTACGCCCGTGATCATTATTTTTGGTTTCTGGATGTTCGCCATGACGGTGTTGGCGCCGAGGCACTCCTTCAACACCTTCTCCAAACCCTCACTATTGTAAGGTCGCGAGCCCACGAAGGCGTTCTCCTTGATACGAAAGTAAAGAGCTTGACATTCCCGTAGGGACTTACCCGCGGCGAGGCCGAGCGCCAGGATACCGCCAGTAGACGTGCCGGCTATCCAATCAAAGCACTGTACCACGGGTTTGCGCAACACCGACTCGATCTCCAGCAGCGTCTGTATGAGTACTAATCCCCGAATACCGCCACCATCGAGACAAAGTAATCTACCACCCTCGATATGGTTTCCATGCTCGGCCATTTTCTCCATGCCAGATACATGAAGCATCTGATCGAGAATCGTGCGCGGTACATACTGTGGCGGTTCCGACGGCGCGATACCGGTATAATTCTCGTCATGCTTGCAGCCGAGATGACAATCTTTCATCTCCGATGGACATTTTTGCGCGCCTACCGCATGCAGCAGGTAGATTATCTTGTTACCTTCGGTAGTATCAACGTTCGCTTTGTGCCTAGGCGTTTCCGCCTTCCAGTTCCGCGCGTCGATGTCGGAGCCGAAGCCGATAAGCGCCTCTACGATGGCCGGTGTCTCTGCCTCCACCGCAAGATGCAGCGGCGTGTTGCCGTCGTTATCGACAATGTTGACGGACGCCATATGACTCAGCAGGGCGACCACGCAGGGCAGCCGTTTACGCATCACCATTACATGCAGAGCAGTACGCCCGTTGAAGTTGAGCGCGTCGATGTCGCAGTTGGTGTCGATCAGCGCCGTGATCACTTCGCGACTACGTGACCAGTGTAATGGTGTGCCGCCGAATTTCATGTCCTCTGCGTGAAGCACATTCGGCTTGTTGTGTAGAAAGAAATCGCCAACATAACCGGGACTGGAAGGCTGGCCCTCGGAAGCAGGTATGTTTACGTCGGCACCGATTAGCAGGAGCGCTTTTACACATTCGGGCTTATCGTTCAGGCAAGCGACATGCATGGGGGTGTGACCGTTGCTGTTACGACTGTTCAAACTGTTTGGAAGACCCGAGCCCAGAGCAAGAATGATCTCTTTGGTTGATGTAGCCGCGTAATGATAAACCGTGTTCGCATTATGATCCAGATGTTCCAGCGAACTCTTCGCTGCTATCAGCATCTCGACGGTGCGCAAATTATTAGTTTGTACGGCGACTTGCAGGGGCGAGATACCAGTTTCTGAATCGCCGCTGTTGAGCTGACTGTTGACGATCGCGTGCGTGAATGCATCATGGAGGGCAAAGTAGGCTGCTAAATGTGCTAGAGTCCATGTGGGGTGTTCTACCAGAGTATCGCAGAGTTTTTGAATTTTTCCAACATAGCACATCTTAGAGAAAAACAATAAGATTAATTGTTAATTATAAATATAAAATTTTCTTAAATAACAAATCATTTTTAAATTGTGTATGAAAGATAAAAATATATAATATGGGAACATATCATTTCTTTAAAGTACACTGTATATAAATAAAATGTAAAGAAACATTACCTCACGCACTGTCTGTACAAGTACAGGGACTTTGTCTTTATATATTAAGAATCTTGTCTCCGCATCATCTAGAGTTTCCGATCGAAACAGACTGAAAATATTTAAAAGTCAAGAAGATATCCAAGTATTGAAAATTCAATAAAAATCAACAGAAAAATGATAGACAGATAATAGAAAATACAAACATTCTGCCATCAGCAGATAAATTCAAGACAAATATTATTTTTGTGAGCATTATCAACTTAAATGGCAATGGCTGCTTCCAAGAAAACAATAATTACGTACAGAAAAATATTATTGTATTTAAATATAATTTACTTGTTTTTCTTCAAATTTTTTTAAAAGTTCATATATCCACAAGTCTATCACAAACATCAAATTTATTCAAAATATATTCTGAATCCTAATAAGCAATTATATATTTCAATCAAAATTACTAAAAATAAATTCAAGATTTACTCATTGTAAAATCACTTCAATAAAATTTGTATTCTTCAAAAGAAAATTTCTTTTGAATACATAATAAATTTTTTTTAAATTTATAATGAATATATTTTAAAACCATTAAAGGAAAAAAAGGTAATTGACAATGAGTACTCAATCACTTTTCTTAGCATTAGAACGAACAGTAGAATGGTTATGCGTAGTTATTTATATATTTCAAATAATTTACAAAATAAATAACATAATTACAATATTCTTTCACGCCAAAATAAATCAATAATAAGATATACCTGTATGCTTGATGTAAGGTCTCCGTACAGGGCCTGTGCAGGACGATCTCGTATTTATCCTGATTCTTACCACCAAGCCCATAGAGAACGATACCGTCCTCACGGGAGTGTATATGCCGATCGCTGTACTGTTCCGGACGCACCTCCTGAACGACGTTCGGCGGCGTGTCCGAGAAGACGATGTTCCTCAGAACGTTGTTCGCGATCGTGCCGAGCCAGGCCATGGTGGTATCGACGCTGATGACGAGACGAGCGAACGGGAGTGAGACGCGGATGCTTCTACCGCGCGAAAACGTTACACAACTTCCCGTTACTCATTGTGTTGCAAAAACACAGCATAACAGTTCGCCTGTACTTTATACCCTGCCTTTCCGTCTCGTCGCTGTCGTTCGACCGTTTACGTTATTTTCTCAGACTACGTTTACACGGCTCGATTTACGCCGAAGTTATAACATCGATGTTATGAAACTGGCCAATCATAGCTATTCCTCTGAAGAATAGAATGACTGCGATTGGCCAGTTTCCTAACATTGTTATAACTTCGGCGTAAATCGATCCGTGTAAACGTAGTCTCAAGCGAACGACAGCATGGATAATAATGACAGGGAATAAGGTTAACAAAGTACAAGCACCGTACTTGGTACAGCAAAGCGAGCTGAGAGACCTCGCGCGGCAAAGATACCAAGTACCCAAATCAAAAAGGATTGTTCTTTTTTAGTTATTTTTGCACAGTTCATCTTTTACCGTTTTCTTTTTCTTTTCATGCTGAAAAGAAAAAGAGAAAAGATGAATCGTACGAAAAGTTCAGCTAAAAAAGAATAAGACAACATGAAATATTTATGTGAATTATTTGTTGAAATATTTTATAAACATTTGTAAAATATTTAAAAATATTGCATTAAAACGTTTTACAAAAACACTTTAGAAATGTACAAATGTTGTAAGAAAAAGATATTTAAAAAACTTCCTGGACATATTAATATTTTAGAAATATTTCATGAAAAATTTGTGAAATATTTTAAATCTTACAATGAAATATATTAATTTTGGATAAATATATATTCAGATGTTAAAGAAAGAGAAAGCAAAGATGTTGAGTGCAAAAAGTACAAGCGACGCAAACTACAATTATTAATTAAATAGACCTACAATTGATTTCTTCAGAATTCTGGAGGATTTTTGTAAATAAAGCCGGCAACATTAAAAAAAGACATAGAAATTAATCGAACTGAATATCGGAAAGACAATCGATCTTTCGATAGTCGATAGTAAGCTCTTCCATTTCCAATTTAAAAGGATTGCCAAGGCAACGGCAGGATAAACAAACATGACGCATTTCGCGTTTTGTGCAGCAGTTTCAACTGTGAAAAGAAATTTAAAGATAAATGATATATAAAAAATATTGTTTAAGATGTTACAAAATATTTATAATGTAAGACAGTGATTACCGCGTTCGAAGTTCCATTATTCTTTTTTGTAATGACTAGGTAAACTGTCTGCTTGTCCATGCTAGTCTTAAAAACCACTTAGCGATGCCGTTATTTTTCAATAAGTTTTCCCCTAAGAAGACGCCAACTAGGAAGGCATCCGTTTTCCTGGCAAATAAAAATTTAAGTCCTAAACGAATAGAGAAGGAACTCGGCCCGGAAGTGGGCCCTATACGCCTCCGTCTTGGAGATCAGGAAGCTGTTTTTGAGGCTGGCCTGTGGATTCCAGGTGAATAACGTTCTATTTACCAAGCACAAACTTTTTGCATTTTTATCTTAAATAATTAAAAAAATGGATAATTTTGCTTTAGAGTCTGGTAAAGTGGGAGGTACTTTCAAAGAGAATGAAAAATTAAAAAAGGAAGTGAGACGACTGGAGGAAGAGAATAATCTGTTAAAGCTAAAGTTTGACGTACTTTTAGACATGGTAATCTTTTTTTATATAGCACCAATTAAAAAATTATAAATTTCTGAAACAATATATAATATATAATAATATATAATACTGTGTGTATATAATAATATATAATAATATATAATATTGAATATAAATATAAAGTATATATATGTATACAAGGAAACAGTTTATCAATGTATAGCAGAATGTTAATAAAAGCATATAATGATAAGTGTCAAGTTACATTTTACGTTAATTTTTTACAGTTAACACAAACAACTGCTGAAGTTCACTCACAAAAGGAAGAATTAGAGAAACTAAAAAATTTTTCTCTCAACAAACGAGTTGTCGTTTGATCCATTAAACATTGTTATTTGCTTACTAGGATACAAATTATAGAAACTATAAAACTAAGATATAAATAAAAACTATAAAATAATAATTTATCTTTTATCAAACTTCTTTTCAAATAGAAGTCTTAATACTTGTAAAAGAGTTAAAAGGCAAAATTTAAATCAGATAAAAATGTGTGACACTTCTCCATTCTAATTAAGCTTTTTATAACGCTAATCGTTACAACTGTATATTATTTACGTTACTATTTTGGAAAAAATTCATTGATGTAACTCATGAGGGAAGCATAACGTGCGAAAGAGACCACATTTGGACATTTGTATCTCATGTGACCTGTGAAAGAATATATAACGCAAAATGTAAAATATAATATGTATAAATTGAATCTAATAGATGTAATTGAGAATAATAAAAATATATTATTTTTAAAAAATTAATAAAAGAAATAAAAGGAGAAAAGAAAAGATAACAAAAAAGATGAATTCTTTAAACTTGCTTCTTTATTACCTTCTATTCCGCAAATTCCGCATTTTCTCTTGCCCTTGATAGGCGTAAGTTTGGGAATTTTGAAGGCATTGGCGTTTTGAGGAACTTCGCTATCATTCTTATCTGCCCACTTGAAAAAATTACAAGTAGAGTTTGAACCCTTGGGACATCTATAAAACAGTCGTCCTTTTTTAGGGCTATCTCTGTAAACCGCCATCCTAAAAAAACGCGCAAAATTATTTTTGTATTAGATACATAATGAAGCTGCTAATTAGCAACATTAAGACTTCAATTCATTAATTAATTATTGACGTCATGTGTTGTTTATCGTAAAAAATTTTATCGTTCTTTCTGATCGGAGATTTTACTCACTTTTCAGCGGGCTGATTACAGTTGCACATAACATTCATTGAGGGGTTGTCCCAATTGTCCCTAGAAGTGCTAGCGCGAGAAAAGTTATTATCCCTATTTACATCCGGTCTAGATACCATTGAACGTTTCTTCCCTGCATTACCTTCAGATTTTACACTATCCTCATTTACCCATTTGTGAAAGTTGCAAACGTTTTCACTGCATTTGTAGCAAAATATACGTTCTGGAATTACAAATATTATCCAAAGTAACTTACGCGACAAATTATATTTATATACGGTTATCACTTACTCTTATTCAGTCCAACTTTTTGAGCTCTTTGAACTGCAGGCTTTTTACAATAACACATAATGTTAGCGTTGCGAGAATTACTGGACGCAGATTGATTTGATTTGTTCGCAAAATATTTGAAATCACCGAAATTAATCGAAGAAGTATGATTTTTTCTCTCCTTTGATACTGTACTGCTATTGGCAGTATTTGGCCTATTTGATTCATTCAATTGAAAAACGTTCGAATTCTGGTTTTGCGCATATCTTCCGGATGTGCTAGGTGTTCCGATCAAGTCAGTATAGTTATTATTTCGAACAAAGTCTGTGCTAATAGAAGCTAGCTGAGTACTTTGCAATTGGGATGTACTTGGAGTAGTAGTAGAGATCAATGCGTCCCTCATATTATTTTTCTTTCCCTCATCTTGCATTACATCTTTCGTTAATTTGTCAAGCCATTCTTTTATTATCTCTGTTTTCCTATCCCATACACATTCCACATCTTCTTTTTCACTATCCATCATCTCCGTTCCTTCTAACTGTTTCATCTCAATGTTTTTAATCTCATATTCTTCGCATCTTACTTCTAATTTCTCTATTCTTTCTTTTAATTTATTTCTTTCCTCTGTCCAATCATTTTCCTTACACCTTATTTCGTCTTTTAATTTTTCCATCTCTATTTTTATTTCCTGTTGCACGTTTTCAAAAACGTTTATCATATCACATATTATTTCTTCCACACCGTTTCCTTGCTCTTTCACATCCATCTTCCTTGTTTTCCTCCTTTTTTAATGGCTTTCGCAAAATATTTGTGAATACAAGAGAGATTTCGTCAGAAACTTTCAAATATTTTAGATCCTTGCAATATAGGACTTTATTTTACTTGCAATTGTAAAATAAAGGATAGAGTAAAATGGCGCGAATCTATCCTCACGAACGTGCCGATATGGCGACGTAATATCAAATCTCTGAGAGAGAAAGGAGAAAGGGATCAAACTCCCAAGGGCATACTCTAATTATTTGTCAGGAACCTTAAGACGGATAGGAGCGTGAAATGGGCAATGCAAAACGAGCCACGAACTTTCAAGAAGCTTTCTTCTTCTTCCTTGGCCAATGAATTTCCGATTCCAGAGTACCACGCTTCCAAGTGTAGATCACTGGATTGTAAGGGGGTCTGATCAACTCAGCGCTTATCAGTATAGTATCGAATTATTCGTTCTCTAAAGTAATAATAAGAGACAAGAAGAAAAAGGACAGGAAACAAAAGTTCTTCATCGAAGCTCAAGCAAATAGCAGATTACAAGGAAGTTTCCAGTAATTTTGCGCGATATAAAATAAAATCACTATATAAAATAAAACCACTATAATAAAATCAAGAACCTTATTAATGATTCCTCGATTGAAGTTGTTCAATAGAATACTGCTTTAATCCCGATACACGTCTTCTCATTGGAACGGTTCAGTTACAAAGAATCACAAAGAATCCGACGGGAACGCTTCCCTTCTTCATCCCGCACTTAAGCTAGATGTTGCAGGCGAGCGACCAATAAGACGTTGGCTATAAGCGAAAGCCAATAACGCATCACATTGTAAACACGTGACTCCGAGGGTCAACCGGACATAAGCCAACCGGACATAAGATATCTCATGGCTTTATCTTATCGCCCTAGGGTGTGGTCAGGAAATCTGTCCTTCGCTGTAACAGATATCCTATCTCCTCTTCTCTCTACAAAGACAGAAAGAGTAAGGAGAGATGAATGGTACAAGATATTCAGTTAAAAAAAACAGGCTTTAGATAAGACACAAAGAAACTTATAGCGAATTCGGTTACTATAATAGATCAGTACTAAAAGCTGCTTTACATGAAATTAGCAAAGTTAAATGTAAAAGTATATAAATATTTTAAACGATTAACTATTTACTAATGATATAGTCACGTTATTTAACAAAATATACATGTATCATTTCGTTGTCAAAGTTGATTATATTGTATCACTGCATTGAGATATTTTATGTAAAGCAGTTTTTAATATGCACTGATCCAGTATAGTGCGAGTGATCGAATTCATCATTAAAGTCTCATTACAAATGCTTTGAAGTGTTTTCTTTTGAGTGCGGTTAATCGAGTCTTTTAAAGTAGTTTAGCAATAGGTACATCATAAATATGGTATGGTCCTCAAAAAGTCCGGAAGCGGTTGAATATTTCGAAAATGAAGCATTTTTGAGAAAAATGTTTCAGACAAAAAGTGTAGTGACGTCACCAAGGTCAGATCAAGGTCATATTAATTTTTTTAAATGAAATACTTTATTTTTTATTCCAGAATTTAATAGCTGACCTCGTAAGCTTTTTAAAATACTTTAATAGTCTTTTTTTAATCAGTATTTATTGAGTTGTCAGGCTTGAAAGTAACAGTACCGCCGGTATCAGCATTCCCAAGATGTCCGATCGACGGCTAAAACCTCTTGAATGTTGTTCAGGATTATGACCTAGACAACAGTTGTTAAGATTAAGATCACTGGAGATTGTTCCTCTTATTTTCATTTTCACGTGAATTAATTTCATTTTCAAATGAATTTTTAGTGCAAAAACAAAAATAAGAAGAACAACCTCCAATCAACAATCTGTTAAAATTAAAATTTGATGTACTTTTAGATACGATAATTTTTTACGTTACGCCTTTCAAAAAATTAGAAAGTTAATCTCTGAGAAACAAAAAGTATATATTTCGAAAAAGTTTATCAATATTATAACAGAACGCTAATAGAAACATATAACGATAATGGTTAATAATAATATTATGTTAATTTTTTATAATTAACGCAACAACCGCATTTCACTCACAAAAAGAAGAATTACAGAGAATGAAAAACAATTTTTCTTATAACAAAGGAATTGTCATTTAATTTATTAAATATTATTATTTGCGCCGCTTACTAGGATATGAACAGTAACTATAAAACACCAAATGATTCTGATGATCAAACTACTTCCTATCTTAACACTCGTAAAAGTTAGAAAGCAGTAGTTAAGTCTTAGAAATAAAGCTGTATTTGACACTTCATTCTAATTAAGATATTTTTTACAATTCCAATCGTTACAAACTGTACATTATTTACAATACCGTATTGAAAAAAATTCATTCGTCAGTCCATCGCGTTATTCGGGCATTTCTTCCTCGTATGACCTGTAAAAAAATACAAAATGAAAAATATATAATATATAATGTAAAAATATATAATTTAGATAACCAGATGTAATTGAGAACATAATCTATTTTTGATACAGTTAAGAGAGAGACAGAAGAGAAAACATGATTGAAAAAGTTCTTTAAATATTACCTTCCAATCCGCAATTTCCACATTTTCTCTTACCCCCGGTGAGTCTGGGTCTTTTGGGGGCATTGCCTTTTTGTGAAAATTTGCTACGAGCTTTATTTCCTGTTCCTCTCGCAGTTGAATTGCTCCAGTCTGTGTGACCATCGTTGGCGTCATCTTCATCTGCCCATTTGAAAAAACTACAAGTGGAGCTTACACCCTTGGGACATCCGTAAAAATGTCGTCCCTTATTGGGGCCATCTTTGTGAACCATTAACCTACAGAAACACGAAAATATTTTTACATATATTAATAAAGACATTAGGCCTGTTCTTTTTAGCTGAACTTCTTGCACCGTTCATCTTTTCTCACTTTCTCTCCAACGTGGAGAGAAAAGGAAGAAAGATGAACCGTGCAAGAATTTTAGAACAAAAAGAACAGACCTCTAGTGAAGCTGTTAATGAACAATTACTAATCATGATTTCAACTCATTAATTATTGACATTGATATATGGCTAGTCCAGAAAATTTATCGTTCTTTCTAGTCGGAGATTTTACTTACTTTCGAGCGGGCTGATTACAATTACACATAATATTATTCGTAGACGGATTTCCCCAATCGTTATTAGAAGTACTAGCACCAGAAAAGTGACCAGTACCATCGTTGTTTCCGTTCCTAGATTCCCAAGTGGAATGTTCGTTCTCTGTGTTAGATTCGGCGCTGTCAGATCCCCACAAAAAAAAGTTACAACCGCTTCCCTGCGGTTTAGCGCATTTGTAAAACAAACGTCCTGAAATTGCAAATGTTATTCAAAGCAACTTACGCGACAAATCACAAACTTATATGCGGTTGCCACTTACCTTTATTTGGTCCGTCTTTTCTAACTGTTAACTGGATCGCAGTCTCATGACAGAGACACATAATCTCAGAATTATTGTCTGTATTACCCCACATATCTTTTACATTGTTCGTATCGCGAGAATTTCTCGACGTAGATTGATTTGCTCTGTTTCCTGAATTGTTGAAATCACCTGAATTAATCCAAGAAAAATGGTTTTCTCTATTGTCCGATACTGTACTCCTATTGACAGTATTTGGCCTGTTTGAGCTATTCGGCTGAGAAATATTAGAATTCTGGTTTTGTGTGTTTGGTCTGGATGTAGTAGAAGTTCTGATCAAGTCATTATTATTTCGTACAAATCCTGTACTACTAGAAACTGGCTGGGTACTTCGCGATTGAGATGTACTTGAGATAGATTGAGATGTACTTGAAGTGGAGCTTAATGTATTCCTCGTATTATTGTGAGCAGTATAATTCGTTCTTCCAGTTTGTTTAATGCAATCTTCTTTAATATTTAACATTTCATTAAACGTAGTATCACAGCCTATACAAGTTGTGTGAGAGGTACCGTACATGGGTATCACATTTCTGACTAATTTGAATTTTAATTTGCGTATATTTTCTGTACACTAAAAATATTAATCGCCCACAAATTTAATAACTTATGAAAACATATATATTTATGTGAAATACACTGCGAGCAAGATGTTATATTTACCCGATTGCATGTTTCGTTTAAAACTTCCACATCCTCTACAGCTTCTGAAAACCAAATTACATTGGTACATCCTGGATATCCCATACAGGAGATATATTTTCCTCTGCCTTGTCGTCTCTGTTTTAGAACCATGTCAGAGCCGCATTTTGGACATTTAAATATAGTAGTAATCACTGGAGTAAGCTGTGTTTGCTCGATTTGAAGAGGTCTCTCTTCGAGATAGCGTGCTAAAGAGTCATCTATCAAATTGGCGCGTTCTATAGCCACTTGGAACACTTCGCGATATTTATTAATTTGATTTTGTAATACTTCATTCGAGTTTTTCTGACCCTCGCATATCCTATGATAATAAAATATGATAAAAACAGATTTATACATACAAAATAATAGTGAATTCGGTTGGATGCACTAGTATGCACTCGCGTGTATAATAAAACCGTTATATACTAATTTATATATAGTGAAATGCAAATGTTTTAAATAAACGTTTTGAAATAAATCGCATAGAAATAAGATTAATTCATTTTTGTATTTCAAACAATTATAAATGGAAATTAAATTATGATAAAAATAGATTTCAAATAATAGAAAGAATTTATATTAAACACACATCTTTACGTCAATTTGTGTAAGATATTAATTAATGTACCAGTGCGCTCTACGTGCGTCTAATCGAATTAGCTATAAGAGATTGTCTAATGATACATTAAGTTGGCTTACAGTTGTAAATCTTTTTCTAAATCCGCACGCAAATGCGGTTTGGACATTTGAAAGCCCATATTATCGTAACCCATGACCAAACCAATTCCCAATTTGCCTGGCATAAAATGTTGAGTATCCGTTAAGCCCACGTATTGCCTGGATTTGATGGTATCAATATGGTCAGCATGAGTAGCATCTGTACCGATGCCGTGTTTGTCCATTAGTGCGATCAACTCAGCCTCGGTCAATAAATTTGGTGCTGAAGTTTTCTCTTCCACCATATCAATGCTAGTTGGTCGAAAAACTTGCCGCTGCTCGTAACAGTGAATCTGCTTGTTATTCCATTTCTCGTATATGTACACATCAAGATAATTCTTCACTATGATTTCAAGACCGTTAGCCTTGAACTTCTCTCCCGCTATATCAATTTCCACCGTTGTTTCTCGGCCCTCCGCATTCTTCGACAGACAAGCCAGAAAATGTCGAACCACAAATTCATAAACCTTCGCTTCGTTTCCTATTGATAAATTGCAACTGACTAACGCAGTCGAGTTAACGATAAATAACCCTTATAGAAATTTAATACCGAAAGGTGTTAATTAATTAGTTATTTTGAATATTGAAAGTATTATTTTTCAATGCTTTTATTCAAAATGAGTAATTCCCAGCATTAAATTGGCCAACAGATATTAGATTTCTATAAGGGAAGAACAAGCACTACGAACTGACCATACAAATTGTCGGTATACTTTGTGGGATGAATAGGAGGAT